ACACACACACACACACACACACACACACACACACACACACACACACCCTTCAACAATTTCTACTAGCTCCACCTCTCACGCTCCGCACAGGGAGGGCGTGTCTGACGTCACAAAGGGCGGAGAACCGGATTCGGCCCCAGGGCTCCGTGGCCCGCTAGTGCTGACGCGTATAGGCGTACTGCGCCTGCGCGAAGAGCCGCGAGGTGAGGCGCGTGCGCTCTGCGCACCCTGGAAACCAAGCCCGACAGCTTGGGGCTGGGACGCCGGTGTCTGCGGGTGGTTGGAATTGTGGCAACTTAGCAGAAGTGAAAGGGGCCCCGGCGGCGACAGGACAAGTTCAACAGCGGCTGGGGCAGTGAACGCGCGGCGGGCGGGATGGGCCGGCGCCAGGCCCCGGAGCTGTACCGGGCCCCATTCCCGTTGTACGCGCTCCGGGTGGACCCCAGCACGGGGCTGCTCATCGTAGCTGGTGGAGGAGGCGCCGCCAAGACCGGCATAAAAAATGGAGTGGTGAGTGTGCAGGGCCACCAGGGCCAGTTCACCGCGCAAGCAGGGGAACATTCTGGGGTGACTGGGGGTCGCAGGGGTGAACCACACCCCAGCTTCGGGTCCTGCCTATTTCCAGTAAGGAAGACCCGGCATCCCGGGCGCTCGGATGCGAGTAGTCGAGGGACTCCTAAGTTAGCGCTGCACACCGGCCGCTTAGGTAGGAACGCCTAAGTTCGACCTCGGGAGCAGTTCTAGGGGGCTTGTCCTGCCCTCTAGCAGCGGTGAGTGGTACATTTGGCCCTTAGGCTAGGTTCTTTACCTGTTCCGAGCTTCATCCTGACCATCTATAAACCCGAGGGTAATAATCCCTGCGTGCTGTACAGATCTGGGACCAAATAAAAGCTAAGAGGCTCAAGAAGCCCTGTGAACTAGGAAGTACAGTAAGCTAAGGAATAAGGCATCAGACTAGGAGGTGCGTTTGCCTTGACCCGCTCTCCCTGCACACCTGAACTTTGCCCATTCTGGTTGTCTCTCCCGCAGCATTTTCTGCAACTAGAGCAGATTGATGGGTGCCTGAGTGCCTCCTTGCTGCACTCCCATGACACAGAGACACGGGCCACCATGAACCTGGCACTGGCTGGTGATATCCTTGCAGCGGGGCAGGATGCTCACTGTCAGCTCCTGCGCTTCAGGGCTCATCGGCAGAAGGGCAACAAGGCAGAGAAGGCAGGTGAGAAGCTTGGGGGAAAAGGTTAAATGAGTAAGATCAGTCATCTTGGGTCTAAAGAAGTGGGCCTGGAAGTGGGGTTACAAGCTGGATATACACCTGCCCAGTAGAAAGGGATCAGGACTACTTCGTGTAGAAGACTGGATCCTGGCAACCTGTTTGTATTGCAGGTTCCAAGGAGCAGGGGCTTCGACCAAGAAAGGGGGCAGCCCCAGCAAAGAAAGGGGGAACTGAAACCCAGCGTGACGGGGTAGAGCTTAAAGTAGAAAATCTGCAGGCGGTGCAGACAGACTTCGGCCTGCAGAAAGATATACTGCAAAAAGTTGTGTGCTTCAACCCTGATAATACCCTGATTGCCACTGGAGGGACAGATGGTCACATTCGTGTCTGGAAGGTATGGTTTTAGGGGCCAGAAGGATGAATGTAAATACAAAAAGTCCAAAAATGTGCGAAGCTGAACTTGAGTTCTGGGAAAGCTGTGAGTGGCCATTAGACAAGAAAAGAGGTGTGGGGATCATAGTGCTCTTGCTGCAGCCCTGGTCTAACCACGGTGCCTGGTGGTGGCTTGGTTGTAGGTACCCACCCTAGTGAAAATTCTGGAGTTCAAAGCCCATGAAGATGAGATTGAAGACCTGGCTTTGGGGCCTGGTGGCAAGGTGAGGAGGTGGGTTATGGGAAGGAGGTGCAGAAAAGGTAAAAGGAAGTGCTTGTATATCTGTGTAGTAAATAGACCCTCTAACTGTCCATCTTGGGAATCTTTATTCCTGACTAGTTGGTAACTGTGGGCCGGGACCGTAAGGCCTTTGTGTGGCAGAAGGATCAGCTAATAACACAGCTGCACTGGCAAGAGAATGGACCCACCTTTTCTAACACATCTTACCGCTACCGGGCCTGCAGGTATGAAGATCCATGGGGTGGTTAAAAGAGGCGTAGCCAAGTGGGGGAGGGAGAGTGGAAAAAGATTAAGGGAGGGTGGACTAGGGAGGACTGTGGTCTTGTTGGTGTTACCCCAGGCCTAACCAGGGTGCAGCAGGGCAGAAACCTGTGAGGAAGGCTGGACAGACCTTGGAGCTGAATAGTCCTTTGCCTGGCCCCCAGGTTTGGGCAGGTTCCAGACCAGCCCGCTGGGCTGCGACTCTTCACAGTGCAGATCCCCCATAAGCACCTGCAGCAGCACCCGCCTTGCTACCTCACAGCCTGGGATGGTTCCACCTTCTTGCCCCTTCGGACTAAGTCCTGTGGCCATGAAGTCATCTCCTGCCTCAGTGTCAGGTGTGAGACAGTACCGGCTTGGCTGGGTAGAGGGTACCTGGGGGAGCTTGGGAAGGAATCCTGCCTCAGTCCCCGAGGACAGCTGTTGGTAAGTGAAGGTGGCTGCACAGGCCTCTAGGACAGTGAACACTCTGTTGTTTGTTGCAGTGAATCGGGCACCTTCCTAGGCCTGGGCACGATTACTGGCTCTGTTGCCATCTACATAGCTTTCTCTCTCCAGGTAATGGGTGGAGGTGGGCACAGCCCTGTGGGAGGCCTGCAGGCCTGCTCTATCCTGTATGTACAGGAAGGAGCCTGGCCCAGCCTGCAGGGGAAGCCTGCTGGGGTGCAGAGCATGTTTCCAAAAAGTATCCAATTGGGCCTTCCCTTACTAGTTTCCTTCCTGCCCCCAGCGCCTCTATTATGTGAGGGAGTCTCACAGCTTTGTGGTGACGGATGTGGCCTTTCTACCTGAGAAGGGTCGTGGACCAGAGCTTCTCGGGTCCCATGAAACTGCCTTGTTCTCTGTGGCTGCAGACAGTCGTTGCCAGCTGCACCTGCTGCCCTCACGGCGTGAGTAGTTGGGGTGGGGGCTACCACCCCACCTTTAGCTATAGCAAACACTTGACCTTGGAGAAGAGAGGCCAGTTCACAGCCATCCCTCTGCCCCATCTTTGAACAGACTGGGTTGAGGTCTCCGGTCTTTAAGGTGGTACAGCCCCTTTCTTGCTCACTTCCTTTTCCCCACCTGCAGGGAGCGTTCCTGTGTGGCTGCTGCTCTTGCTATGTGTCGGGCTTATCTTTGTGACCATCCTGCTGCTCCAGAGTGCCTTTCCAGGTTTTCTTTAGCCTTCCTGCTGTCTGGGAATCCGGCCTGGATGCTGCCACCGTCTAGAGGGGAGTGGAGGCCTGGACTCCTATTGCTCACTCCATTTGGGCCCACAACTGAGGATGCCTCTGATGATGGGCACTGCTTGCCCTTTTCAGTGAAAGCTTGGCTGTGGCCCTATGTGACTGTGGGTCCTGGGAGTCCTACATTCATCACCTGCAGATCCACCCAGGACAGTGGTGTTTTGAGTCCAGACTACACAACCTGCCTCCTCCTCTTTGCCCAGCAAAGGCTCCAAAGCTGAACATGTCCTTCTCCAGAAACATGAAGATGCCCAAGGGTCTGGAGGCACTGCTGTCCTTCCTGCAGAAACAATCAGTTTCTCTTCCTCTCCTCACAATCTTCACATGAAGCCCCTGGCTTTTGCTGGGCCAAGGACTGGCTTGGCACTTGCTGTGAGGTCATAAAGGGGCCAAAAAGAAGACTCAGGTAGTAATCTGTGGGTTCAGATGGGTAGCACCAGGCCAGCCAGGCTGAATATGCAGTAAGTTCCTGGATCACTATCGCAGACTTGAGGAAAGGGAAAATCAACCTCAGTCCATTAAGCAGGAAGGGTTGATATTTAATAAACAAGGGAAGACTGAACTGAGACCCCAAATGATACACTTGTCAGCTCTTTCTGTCCCCAGAGGCAAGCACCTTGAGGTCAAGCAGCTCCTCTGGGTGCTGGAAGATGGCCTTGGCATACTGGTGCAAGAGGCGGGTCATGTAACAGTGCTGCCAGGGCAGCAGGCCTTCCAGGAAGCCGATGTGGCCACCTCGAGCTGTGATAAGCAGTGCAACATGGGAAGAGTGTTGGGCAGCCTGTAGGGGAAAGGCTGGGAGTGGGTCAGAGAGGAGGTCAGGAACCCAGCCCCTGATAGGAGCCCAGGTTCTCCACTTGTACTTCATGGTCTACGGTCTACCTTCCTAGGGCCAAGGCCTCCTGATGCAGGGTACTCACCATGGACCGGAGAGAAGGGGTCATCTGCTGCATTGAGGCAGAGAACAGGGAGCTGGATGGCATCTACCTTGTTTTTGGGGCTTGATGCTTGGTAGTAGGCAACCCAGTCTTGATACCCAAAGGCTACAGATGTGTAGCGTGCATCAAGCTGGCGGACTGTGCGGGCCTGTGTGGTAGTGGTAGTACAGTCTAAGATAATAAAGAGCAGAAAGATAGTGGGAGACTAATGCCGGGGCAGGGAGATGGTGAAAGCGCATACCTGTAGGACAAAGTCTACATCCACCAACTTTTCAATCATCTTTCTGTTTCTGGAAGAAAGTACATCAAGGTTTGTCTTGACTCCTGCATCTGACCCAAAGCCCAAGCCTATCCTACTACCTCATGCATGAGAAGGCCCAGGTGACACCATACCTGATCACTGGGAGAGCCTACCCGCTTCCACTGGCCAAGACTCACCCTACCTGTCCACAAACCGGCACAGCAAAGCAGTGAGGGGCCGGTTGAAGAGCACCGAGTTCAGGGTGGTTTCCAGGGAGCGGGCCGTCTCAAAGGAATCCCAGCATGCAGACAGAGTCAGTCCTGCCAGCAGGCCTGCAGCCTTCCCGGTCTGTGCCAGGTAGTTGAGCAATAGTATCCTACAGGATTGGAGGAGAAGCCACGAGAGAAAGGTTTACATGAGTGAGTCAGGAGTAGGCAAGGACATGGAGGATGAGAGAAAGGAACACTGGGCTCTGGGTTAAGCCTGGGCAACCATTACCCTCCAAAAGAGATGCCCACAGCCAGCACTGGTGCTTGAGGGTAGCGGCGCTTTATGTGGTTCACAACCATCTCTAGATCTTCAGTATAGCTGGCACAGTAAGCCCTGTGGGTCTAAGGGCAAATGGGATCACTGGACAGAGAGGGAGGCCATTGCCAGAGGGAGGAAAATGGAAGGTGGCGGGGAAAGGGAGCAAGGGAACAAACACAGGTAAAGCCCCAGTGTCGAGATCTCTACAGGGAGTGGATACGGAGCCACCACGAACAAGGAGGGTACTCACCAGCAGCTTTTCCCCACGGCAGCCTCGGTTATTAAATACAACAGCCCTGGGACACACACAGGCATGTCAGCCGGGCCCTCCCACAAGCCCCGCTTTTGATAACCATCAGACCCCTGTCAAAAGACTCCCTAAAGTATATATCAGGGTCAAATGGACTTCTCCCCCTACAAGTTCTCAGGCACCTTCCTGGGCTGTGCCCATCCTTACCGGTAGCCATCCCTCAAAGCTTGGTCAACCAGGTGCAAGATGTAGGTCTCCTGGCTATTGCCACTGATGCCAGGAAGCAGCAACACAGTAGGCTGAGTGCTAGGATCAGGGTAGTGACTGTTGTTTGACTGCTCGGCCCAGTCTAGCAGGAACTGGCCTCCATCTGGGGTTTGGAGGACTTCACTGTGGTTGGGGGGAGAGAAGCGTACAAGGATATTATTAGGAATTTGATACGCTTCAAGGGTCCACCTCCTGTCTCACCCACATGCAAGTCCTGCAGTTTAGCATCATCAGCATCATCTGAAGACATGCTTTATGTGCAATAGTAGGGCTGACCAAGGTGGAACGGGGACATGAGATTATTACTTCCTGGGTGTACAATTACATAGCCCTTTAGTACATCCAGTCTCTGTGCCCTCAACACACTGAGGTAGACAGAGCAATGATTACCTTCACTTTAAAGAAGGTAGATCAGTTTTCCCTACTTGGAGTTTCATGTTCACCCATTCTGTCCCTTCTTACCTCCAATAAGGGACTAGTGGCTTAGGCTGCACAAAGACACGAAAGATGGTTTGCAGCCGTCCCTCAAAACACCATGGCGTGGGGTAGAAAGTCTCCATAGTGAGAGGACAGTGTTGCTTCAGGAACCTCAGAAACTGGGGTCCAGCCACCAGGCGAGGGCTCTGTAATCACACAGCACAATCTGCCTCACTCCCGTGATTTAGCTAGTGAGACACCCAATGCCCCAGGGTAAGTGACCACTCCCTTTGCCAGAGGCAGGCCTGGAGAGTACTGCATTGTTAGAAGAGTGAGACACTTGGCACAGCTCAGTTTGGAATGGCCAGGTCACCTCTGATAATAGAGCCACAAAAATCTCCAGTTCTGGAGTGTGACCTTTCTAGAATTGACTGGGCACTGCCTCCCCTACTTAACCTGGCCCTGTCCCAGACCCATCTGGGAGAGAGCAGGTCATAGAACTGCCCTGGAGGAAGGGCTGAGTTCTGGGTTAAGGGCTGAATAAATGCAGCATCATCCATTCTGGGAACTTTGTCATACAGATGGATTACCCACACTGTCATCTTTCTGAGACTCTCTGGCTTCTGATACAAGCACCCCACTGTCTGCATATTCCCACTGTTCCCTAATGTGTGCTCACTGCTGAAGGGCTTTCTACCAGGGTACCTTGCTGTTGAATCGTGCTCTACAGGAGGACTAGTCCTAATGTGAACAGACTTCATGCCAACTAGGAGAAAGGTAATAGTGACGGGTTAACAGGAACAGATGAGATCAGTAGGCAGAGCCCGGACTCCGAACGTATCTGCTTGCTGCTGGACAGACATCCAGTGAAAGTGGGCCTAGGCGAGGAGCATGCAAGTCAGAGGACCACAGGCTCAAGAACAGAAATTACATTGCTGAAGAACCTGCAGGCCAGATTCTTGTCTTGTCTTCCTGCAACTCCAAAGGAGCTGGGCAAATAATAGAGGTCAAGTTAATAATGTGACCCTTGGGCAATGTGCCCTGGACCCTGATCTTTAAACCCTAGGATACTAGCACATATGCTACAAGCAATTACTGGGCTAAGCCCAACCTTAGGAGGTAAGGTACAAGTGACAAAATCGTAACTATTAGAGATCAACTAGTTCGCCCAAAGTTACACAGAAAAGCAAGCAAGAGGTAAGGCAAAATTACTAATTCTATCACCAGTGATCCTTGTAGAAAAATGTGTTGTGTGCTCACGTGTTCTAGGCATTGTGCTGAGCACATAGCCTACTGAGACAGGGCCTGTGACCCCTCAGCATGAACGGGACAGAATGTTGAATAACTTGCTAAAGAGCACAAAGCCTCCCACAGCTTGAGGACAGCAGAGCTAAAGATTCAAACCCAGGTCTGACTCTAGCGCTGTGCCATTCTAGTCACTGCGCTGATTCTAGTCATTGCACTCTGTCGCCTCCTAACTGCCAAGATGTTGAGTTCCTCTCACTTTATTAAATTCTGGATCTTGCCTGGCAAGCGCAAGGTCGTGAGTTCGGTTCCCGGTACCGGAGAAAAACAAAAAAAAAAAAAAAAAAAAAAAAAAAAAAAAAAAAAAATTCTGGATCAGACAGCTCAGTAGTGTATAACAAGGCTAATGAATTGGTGCCTAGGTGTGTTTTATGTGAGTTACCTTCATGTACCTCTAGCAAAGTATTCTCGATTCACTCCTAAGAAATTAGTAATATGCTACTGGCTGCTGTGATTAAATCAGTATTAATCCACAGTCATGCTGGACAGCCCAGATTCCATGTCCTGAGGACCTCCAGAATAGTACCTTTCCTGCATTTTAGCCAGTATTTGGAAGTCAAGAAAAGGTTTGGTGAATAAAGTGGCAGCAGATCTGGCTTCCCGTATGACTGTTGCAAGCAAAGGACAGTATTAGTTAAGGACAGGTCTGATCTAAAATGACTAACTTTCCAAATCTGATGCATAAGGTGAGGTTTACAGAGTATTGTTAGAGTTGGATTTTTAAACTTTATTAGGGAGAATTTTTATTTATTTAGGTGGTGGAGCCTGAACTCAAGCTAAGCACATACTGTGCCACTGAACCATATCCCAGGCCTTGACTTAATTTGTAAACCATAAATATTTTCAGTGTAGAAAGCTTTGAAAATATAGAAAAGTTTAGGTGACACTAGAATCTCCTACAGGTCTTTTAAAAATCTTTTGGTACTAGGGGTTGAATCCAGGGCCTCCTACATGCTAAGCATGTGCTCTACACTGAGCTATGTTGCCCAAACTCACCGAAACTGTTGGGTTCAAGTGATCCACATGCCTCAGCCTCTCCAGTAGCTGGGACTACAGGCATGTAACCAGTTCCTGCAAGACCTTTTTTTGGAGACAGGGTCTTGCTGTATAGTTCAAACTGGCCTTGAGTTCATTATGTAGGCCAGGCTGGCCTCGAACTCACAATGATCCTCCTGCCTCAGCATCCCTAGTGCTGGGATTACAGGCATGCGCCACCACACCTGGTAAGACTTTTTCTTTTTTTCTGGCAAGACTTTTTAAAGAATTTGAATCAATAGGTTTCATGTTAGACTCAACTACCTAGAACTGATTTTAATAAAAAGCTTTAGCTTTTCTTGGATATGTAGATTATATATTTTATGTAAATGTCAGAAAATTTCCAAATTGATCGAAACCAGCCTCTTCAGAATTTCTCAACACACTGAAGTCTAGACCTTAAAACAGAGAGCAATGTGCAAGCACAGTTAGTTATTCGTCAGTGCCCAGCGAGACACAGCAGTCAGCTAGGGCCCAAGGGGAGCAAGATCCTAGTAACCTGATGGAGGCGGTACTGACGTGGCCACAATCACAGAGGCCTTGGGTTCTGTCATTTGGTGCAGCCAATGGGAAACTCAGCTAGATCCCCTAAAA